ACTCTTTCCTGCCTATGCAGGGGTCGGACTCGATGATCTGTTGAGGTCCCTTCCGACCCTAACATCTATGAATCTATGAATCATCTATGAGGGAAAGACCCATCCATGCACAGCAGCAAAGGACAACGCAGATCTGGGGTCACAGCTCCAGCCATAGGAGAGTCCCTGGGCGGCCTAAGGGGGACCAGGAAGCTAAACTGGGTGTGAGCAGCCTCCGCCTGGTCTGCTTCTGGCAGGGAAAATGGCAAGGAATGGGAAATGCTTGAACAGAGATTTGACTGCATTTAGGGACTAGCAGGGCAGAGATCAAACCCAGCAGTGGGAAGTCATCTGTATTTCTACAAGCTGTTGTGTTGGGCAGGAGGCTCTGGGCACTGACAACATGTTTCAGCTTGAGGAAGGGCAAAACCTGCAGGTCAGTGAAATCCTGACCAAATGTGTGGAATTAGGGATGCCACAAGGGAGTGAGAACAAATGTCTCAGGTGCCTGCAACCACCTGATGAAATCCTGGGGTTGAAGATATGCAGCCAGACCTGGGACTCTAGGGAGCTGCCAGAGTCCCCTGGCAGGGACAGAATAACCTGTGGCAGTAAAGACTGGCAGCGCCCCTGGTCCCCTGTGCCGGTGCCCTGGGGTGACGCTGGCCCTGCCCCAGCTGGAGAGGAGAACCGCACAGTTCCTCTCAAGGGGGAGGCACCAGGGCTCCCCAGAGGTGCAGTGTCAGGGTCAGGTCTGGAGCAGCCCTTGCCATTGAAGAGCTTTGAAATGAAACATGAAAAATCAGATTCAATGGAGAGGAGAGCTGGTTTATTTTTCTTTCTTTTTTTCATTTACATCTTCCCCACCTGCTGCTCCAGTGGAAAACTCAACGTGTTCAAGTGAATCTGAGATTTAGGCAGTTCGCAGGTCCAAATAATAGTCCTGACAACTCTGAGTCACCCACCCTGGCAATCTTCAAAAGGTGTCTTGACGCCCATCTTGCTTGGGTCATCTGGCTCCAGCGGTCTTTCCTGCCCAATGCAGGGGGACTGGGCCAGATGATCTGGAAAGTACCTTCCAGCCCCTAAATACTATGAAACTATGAAAAGCTCTTGGCTGACAGCAGGTGCAATGAGGAATGCAGGGTACTCTGAATTAATGGGTAGTGACTACCAGCTCAGCAACAAATGGACTCATTTTGCAGGAAGGAAACACCCCAGGGTGAGCCCAGCCCTGAGCTCAGGGAAGTGAAACTAGTCCTGTCCCCTCCTGTCACAGCCATGGCCGTGGTGAGCGCTGTACAAAGCCTCCAGGACGAGGTGACATGCTCCGTCTGCCTGGAGTTGTTCACGGACCCGGTGATGATCGTGGGCTGCGGGCACAACTTCTGCCGAGCCTGCATCGCCCAGTGCTGGGAGGGGGCCGAGACGGACGTCACCTGCCCCCCAGTGCAGACAGACC